ATTTAGCAAAGCTAAGCAAATTCTCCAAAGAGAGACTAGCTGGAGTATGCTGTCCCCAGGGAGGGAGCAAGCCAATGCATCGTGTTATGAATTCTAAAGAAAATTGTATGAATATTTATGATGTGGGTGGCATTCTGCTGGAGTAAGGTGACCTTATTTCCCTCCCAAATCATGCTGACTGGATCTCCATTTCAGGGGATTTCTTTACATGATCCTCTGGAAAACCCACAGAGTGGGCATCAAAATCACAATGACATCAATCTTTTGGAAATGCAGCCCCCGCCACGATTGCATAGGTGTGGGAGAATGCCCTGGTACTGTAGTTTCTGATATAGTGGGAATGACCTGATTGATGTCCAACCACAGGGGAACATTCTGATTTTCCATTGGGGTCATAGCTACCACAGCAATTTTTCTGTTGTAGAATATTATTTTAAGATGTGTTACTTTTGTATATGCTGTGGAATGTGTTTAACGACGTAAAGGTGTGTTACTTTTGTTTATGCTGTGGAACATGTGTTTAATGACATAAAGGTGTGTTACTTTTATTTATGCCACATCTGCTTAAATCTGGAGGCTGTGATTCTCTGCCTGTCTTAAAACACCTGATGGTCTAATAAAGTAAGGAATGGCTAATAGCAAGGCAGGAGAAGGGATAGATGGGGCTGGCAGGCAGAGAGGATAAGTAGAAGGAGAAATCTGAGAAGAGGAGACAAGCAAGAGAAAACAAGGAGAACACTAGGAGCCAGCCACCCAGGCAGCTGTGGAGTAAGGGTGAAAGTAAGACACACAGAAGTAAGGAAAGGGAAAAGGTAGTCAGTGTGGCGCATCACGCCCGTCTGTGCTCTATGCACTGCCATTCAGTTCGTGAACTGGGCAAGGGGCTGGAGATTTAAACACACAAAGACTCACAGACAGAGACATGGGTCATCCTTGAAACAAGAAGGCCCCCTTTATTGTGCACCAGAGCCGCATATATAGAGATCCTTAACTGATAGCCACGCCCCAGCCAAACCCACCAGAAACCGCTCCCCTGCCATCAGGAACTCCTGAGGGTCTTGTGCTCAGAGCAGCTGCAAGCATAACGCATTGTTTACCAGAAATTCAGGATGGGGGGGAGGGTCATAGCTCCCAACAAGTCAGGATAATTTCAGTTAATAAATGCTGGCTAGGAACAAGCTAAGGTCAGGTATTTATAAGTACTAGCAAGTCTCTCTGTGTTTTTTATTTGGGAGTTGGATGGCAGACCAAAGAGCCAAAAGAGTAAAGAGCAAAAGCTTTTTCTGTTTATCAGCTTTGTCTGCCTAGCATCACTGACTACTCAGATGTTGCCCTTCATCCACATTTAGAGCTTTATGGTGCAACAAAAACCTTTCCCAGGGCTCAGGGTATCATTATCAGAAACCGAACAAACACCCACCTGATGGGAGATTCCCCCTCTGTATGCCGTGAATATCATTGGCTAATAAAGAAACTGCTTTGGGAGCAGAGCTTATAGGGAAACAGAGCTAGGTGGGGAAAACTAAACTGAATGCTGGGAGAAGGAGAGGCAGAGAGGAGCCCCACTGGAGACAGATGTCCGAACTTTAGCTGATATCAGTCACATGGTGATGCACAGATTAACAGAAATGGGTTAAATAAAGATGTAAGAGTTAGCCAATAAGAAGTTAGAGCTAACGGGCCAAGCAGTGTTTTAAATAACAGTTTCTGTGTGATTATTTTGGAGCTGAGTACCCAGGAACCAACTAATGGCCTCCTTACAACACTTGCCCCACTCTACTTGGGAACCTGGATTGTCATCACATGAGAGAAACTGCCCAAAGGAGTTTCTCTGAGACCTGGGAGTGTAAATGAGAAAACTCAAGATCTGTGGGCGTGATGGGCTCCCCTAGTATATCCAGACAACAGAGCTGGTGATGTCTTTCCGGGCTTTGCACACAGCCCAGTACTCTCAGAGCAGAGCAGATGGCTGCCTTCAGAACATCCCACCACCAGCACCTGCTCCTAAACGCCTCTCGTATGTAATGATCCACTTCAACTTCCCCATCAAGGGCCACTCAATTCATGACGTACCTCCCCCTTTGCTCTGTGGCCCATGATTTCCTTTCATTCATCCCTATAATAAAACCTCCAGCTGTGAACTGGATGCTGAACTGGTCCCAGGGCCAGAGACGCATGGCCCTCACATCCAGACATTCAGGTTCTGGTGACCTTGGTAGACAAAATACAGAGGCTTGCAAATGGCAATCCCAGACACTACCTTCAAGAGGCAAAACGTAACACCATGCTTTGGAAGGCAACGTTTCATTATTCACTGAGACAGAATGCTGCACATACTCTTTAGCCCAGTCCACTGACTCAGCTGTCTACAGAAACAAATAGAGATGCGTGTGCTCATTCTGTGGTGGTAACAAACGCCATGACCAAGAATCACTAACAGGAGGGAAGCTTTATTTGACTTATATTTCCGAGTCACAGCCCAGGAAACAGTGCTGCCAACAGTGGGCAGGGCACATCAGCCACCAACGAAGACAATCCCCCGCAGACGTGCTGACAAGCCTATGTGATCTGGCCAATCCTTAAACTGGGACTTCCCTCTCAGGCATTTCTAGGCTGTGTCAAATTGACAGTTAACGCTAACTAGGACACATGGAAAGACTGGTGCCTACTGACCTGGAACATGGTAGATGCTTGCCTGACACAGAAGACGCACTGGGTTTGATCCTCAGCAACACATAAAGTGATTACGGCTACACAGCTTTATCTTACCAGAATTCGGGAGGTAGAGGCAAGAGGATCAAAGTCTTAGGCTATCCGGGACTACACAACACATTCAAGACCAGCCTGGAAGCATGAGACTCTGACTCACAAAATAAATAAATTTAACATAAAAAAATCTGCAGCTATGACTTCCCATCCATGACAGATTATACCCTCAAACTATGAGCCAAAATAAATACTCCTCTGTAGTGATATTTCATTGGTATTTTAATAAATAAAGCTTGCCCGAAGATCAGAGTAAAACAGCCCCACTGATCAGCCTTATAGACCAGGCAGTGGTGACACACACCTTTAATCCCAGTAGCCACACCAGTTGCCACAGAAACCAGGCAGTAGTGGTGGTGCATGCCTTTAATCCAGCACTAGTGAGAAATGTGAGACCAGAGGAGATTGAAAGGCCAGAAAATATTCCATTTCTGTGCTGGGTCCTTTTGGGACCTTGAACTATACCCCACCCCCAGGATAAGCTGAAGGCTGCAGAGGAGCTGAAAGCCACCCCCAGCCCCCAGGACAAGCTAAAGGCTGTAGGACCCCTCTTTAGGGGAAGTATTAGCTAATGGAGAAACCGAAGTTACATAAAGTAGCTGACTACAGCCCATTCCCCCACTCAGCTTCCCCTATCAGCTGGGTAATATTTCAAGCAGCTCCTGCAGTTAGCACAGGGCCAGCAGATGTCTGGAGGATGTAACCAGGGACTGTTGCTCTGCCCCTTAGATAATAATAGCCTATCAGGAACTAGCAGCTAAGCTTTACCTCACCGTTAGCCAATTCTGATATAGGATAAGTAATTTTGTACTTTGAAACTGTAACCTTGTGACTGCTTTGTGGTTTTTGTCTTTATAAACCCTTACAATAATAGATAATTGTAATATAGATATATTATATATATATATATTACAATATAGATTATATTATATACAATATTACAATATAGATTGTAGATATAGATATCTACAATTATCTACAATAATAGATAATAATTAATAAGATTATTAATAATAATCCCCCCTCCCCCCTCTGCACAGTCAGACCATGAGGCAGAGGACCGGTGCTAGCCCTTACTTAATAAAGGAAACCTTGCTTTTGCATTCGGGAGTGTGGCTTCATGGTGGTCTTCTTCGGGGTCCTTGGACTCAGGCACAATAGACACAGCTCTCACACACACACAGTCTCATTCTGAGATTCCTGGAGGCAGGACCACCATTTTCGGACTGAGGTCGAGGTTAAGAGCCAGTGGTTGGCTGCTTTGCTTTTCTGACCTTCAGGTCGAACCCTGATTCCTCTCTCTGAGTTTTTATTAATCGTGCTTTACTCCTTTCCATGGAAAAATCACAAGTGTGGTGTGACATGGCATGGCGATGCTCGCCAGGCACTCAGGAGGCCAGAGGAAGAGCACCACATGAGCCCAGAATTTCCCGGATTTACAGAATCACACACATTAAAGAGTAATTTAAAGTGGGATAATTAACTCTCAAAAAAGTGGTTTTAAGACTCTTGTTTGATCCTAGTTACATAGAAAGTTGTAAATGTATACACATGCGGATTAAAGACAAGCAGCTGGGATGTCTCTCTCTAGCTTGTAAAGTTGCTGGTTTCAACTTTATTTCTGCGTTTCCCACACTTTCTACTCCAAATATGCTAATCTCATAATCAGAAAAACAAGCGTGTCTTAGAAACAGCCCTGGGGGCTGAGGTTGTAGTTGGTTTGGTAGATCGCTTTCCACTCGTGCCTGAAGCTGCGGGTTTGTTCTCCAGCACTCTATACACTGAGCTGCTGGTCCACACTGCAGTCCCAGCACTCAGGGGGTGGAGACACGAGGACCGAAAGTTCAGATCCGCTCTTGGTTACTGGGGTGTCAAACAGGGTGGGACACATCATCTTATCCCTCAAAAGATGAGTCACAACATGCTATACAGCCTACACTTCAATGATGTGCAGCCGGATATCCCGAGAAAGGAAGGTGTATCCACTAAATTGTGTTTCCCCCAACACTGCAATTGAAATACCCACCACGCACGCACAGCGCATGTCTACTGGCCCAGCTCTGAGGCAGGCTGACCCGCAGAAGTGCAAAGACTTGGAGCTCAGCCAGAGCTGCACACCCCACCCTTCCAACACCTTCTCGCACAGAAATAAGGTGAAAACGGGCGGCTGTTCCCAGACTCCCAAACCGGCGCTGGGTTCCATGGCAGCGCTCCATGGGAGCCCAGACACTCACGTCTCCTGAAGAATCACTATCTGCAGGTCTCCCCGGCGAGGCCAAATAGCGTTTCCGCACCAGGCGAGATGAGGCAAGGTAAGGCATGGCAAGGCCTGCAGGCCCGCCAGGTGCACAGCTGAAGGGCCCTCCCTCGGTCACGCATGCGCAGACTCGCGAAGCCCCGAGCACCCCATTTGCCCTGCGCAGACTGCCAATCTCCAGCCGAGCCTCAGCCACTCCAGAGGCTTCCCGCCAAAGCCATGTCCAATCGGCAAGTGCCAGCACACCAATTGGCGCCACATCCAATCAAAAGTGAGATGTAGGACCTAAGCCCGTCCCCAAGGCACTCTGGACCAATGAGCATCCAGGGAGAGCTCGTTAAATGCCCAATCTTCCTGCCCTAACCGTTAGGCGCTCGAGAGAAAGACGGTTGAGGATCTGCGCTGAGGGAGGACTGAGGTGCTCGGCTAGGAGTCCGACATGGTGAGAGCATCCCTAGACTGGTGTGGGCCTGCAGGAGGGACGCCGCCATCTCCTCCTCAGAGTGGGGGGCTCTCAAGCCGGGGAGGGTGAGCCAGGGCGGGGTTGGGGAGTGAGCCAAGGCCCTGAGGATGGTGAGCCAGGGCTGGGGAGGGTGAGCAAGGACGGGGTTGGGGCTTGAGCCAAGGCCCCGGGGATGGTGAGCGAGGACCTGGGTGGGAGGTGGCGAGCCAGGGCGGGGTTGGGGGGGGGTGGGTCGGCCAACGGCCCAGGGGGTGCGAGGGGCAACCTGGGTGGGGGGTGGCGAGCCAGGGCGGGGTTGGGGGGCGTGAGCTAAGGCCCCGGGTATGGTGAATCAGGGCGGGGTTGGGGGGTGAACCAAGGCCCCGGGTATGGTGAATCAGGGTGGGGTTGGGGGGTGAGCCAAGGTCCGGGGGATGGTGAGTGAGGACCTGGGGGATGGTGAGCCAGGGCTGGGGAGGGTGAGCGAGGACCTGGGGGGTAGTGAGCCAGGGCGGGGGTGGGGGTGAGCCAGAGCCGGTCAGGGTAAAGAAAGGGGGTGAGCGAGGGCTTTGGGGTCTGGAGATCGCAGCAACCTCCCTCTCCAGGGTCCTGGTTGAGCTATGGCTCACCCAGCCCAGGTTCTCGTGAGAACAGGATTCCCTATGGGGTGCAACCCCCACTTGGATTCCCAGCTCTGCAGATACTGACCAAAGAGGCTGGGCAAGAGTTCGAGGCCAGCCTAAGCCTCATAGAATTCCAGGCTCCAGAAAAGACAAACAAAAAGGAGGGTTGGCAGAAAGTTTTGGAGAGGAAACTTTTGTTTCGTGTTTTCCAACTGCCAGTGCCCTTGAGTGAGGGAACAAGCCATGGTGTTGGTTCCAGAAGATTCTAGAAGCTACCAAGCTTTCTGGCCTAATGCTCAACATGGGAAAAGTAAAAGTTGCTGAGCCCAAAGAGCCTTTGTTTGGAATTTTAAGACAGCCTGCAGGTGTAGGGAATCAGTTTGCCATCTGCTCCACCCAGCTTCCTAAAGAACCTTTGTGTGTTTGGTGCCAGCTGCCAGTGGTCATGGTATGGGGTTGTAAGCAGTACTGTGTGTTTCCACCAGAAAGTAGAGCTGAGCCATGTGGCATACGATAATTCCAAGCACAACGGAGGCTGAGGCGGAAAAATGAGATGTTCCAGAGTAGTTGGAGTTAGTGAATTTGAGGCCAACATAGGCTGCAAGACCTTACAAGGGGAAAAAGTAAAATAGAATCTTTTAAGATTTGTTTTCAGTTGTGTGTAGAATGTCTGTGAGGTGAGAAGTATGTGTTCGAGAGTGCAGTTTCCCAGAGAAGCCAGAAAGAGGGCATTGAAGAGGTAGGAGCTGGAGGCAGGTGGTGGTGAACTGCCCTCTGCGAGGACTGCTCTTGGTCTCCCCAGCCCGAAGAAGGGAACCTTTTCCAATACTTGCTAACAAATGCCAGATAAGAGCTAGGGCTAAATAGGCTTGTGCCACAGTCTCCTAATCCTTACCAGCCTCAACTCGTCTTCTTGCTTCAGCCTCCTGATTGAGCTGGTAACTGTTGTGTGCCACCACGCCTGACTTGATCATTTTTTCATTAAAAAATTGTTAGGGGCTGGAGAGATGGCTCAGAGGTTAAAAGCATTGCTTGCTCTTCCAAAGGTCCTGAGTTCAATTCCCAGCAACCACATGGTGGCTCACAACCATCTGTAATGAGGTCTTATGCCCTCTTCTGGCCTGCAGGCATACACACAGAATATTGTATACATAATAAATAAATTTTAAATGAAAAAATTAAGTACATTTCAGTTCTCTTATCCTTATCTGCGTGGAACTTGGCATCATGTTCTATCTGGTTTGCTTTCGTTGCTGCGATAGCACGCTGACCAAAGCAGCTTGCGGGAGGAAAGTTTGTCTCTCAGCAGGGACATCTCGTCAGGTGCTGAAGGAGACAGTGCAGGAGTACTGCTTACTGGCTTTCTCAGCCTGTTTTCTTACACAGCCCACCCAGGCCTATCTGACTAAGGATGACCCTACATTCAGTTGGTCGGGCCTTCCCATGTGAATCATTAATCAAGAAAATGCCCCACAGATGGTGCCCCTTCCCAGGCGACTCTAGTTGGTGCTGAGCTGACAGAAATAACCAACCGTGTTTTTGTATATGCCTTAATTTTTCAAAATTAGCATTTGAAAACTTGCACAACTTTCCTATAAATTAAATAGAATCTTCGTATTTGCTTCAAAAAAAAATCTGCCTTGTTTTTATTGAATTCTTTGCAGTTTTTTCCTGGTGGGGGAGAATTCTGTTTATTTTTGAGACATAGAAGCCTTGCTGGGATTTTACAAATACTAGATAAGGGACTGTATTTGCTTCATTTTTGCATTACATTTACTTATGTGCATGAATGTGCACATGGCTGCAGTGGAGCTCAGAAGACTACAGGAGGGGGTTGGTAGTCAGTGCCTTTCATCACTGAGCCATATCGCCAGCCCTGTATTTGCTTTTATTAAGAAAATTGGTGGCTAGGCGTAGTGATACATACCTTTAATCCCAGCACTAGGGAGGTGGAGGAAAAGTATCTTTGAATTCCAGTCAACAACCAGAGCAACACAGTGAGACCCTGTCTCAAAACGAAAAAGAAAGAAAATTGACAGGAAAATAGACAGCAAGGTTTGGGCCTTTCCGACTTGTGGTGCAGCACAGAGCAGCCAATTGTAAGCTCAGTGGGGATCCGTGACCCCTATCTAAGGTGTAGAAATACTTAGTCAAATAAAAATACTTTCCTATCTTCTGAACATCAGTTAACACCTGTTGTTTGTTGTGTGGGATAAAACCATCGCTGTTTTATTTTTTAAAGTTGATCAGAAGCATCTGTAACTGCTGATGCCGCTAATTCAGTTGCCTGCACTCGAAAGATAGCACAACAGAAGGTGCATGCCAGTAGTTTATAACTGTAGCACACATGAGTGCATACAGCAGGAGCATACATATACTTTGCATGGCATGCAGTACAGTGTTATCCTTTATAAAGTTATGCTCAAGAATCCATGATTTATAAAGAAAGGTCTATTTTCTAAATAAGTTCATAGCCACATTCATAGCTATCCTGGGTCATGTTTGGCCCATGGGCCAAAGATAGCAGCATACCTCTGATGTAGAGTATGTGGTGTGACATCCTGAAAATTTCATTTGATCTCTACATATTTGTGGGGGTGACTTGTTTAAAACTGGACAAGTGGCTACTGGGTGTAGTTAGGTCCTGGCATGAAATAGGCACTCCATTCAAAATGTTGACTAGGGTGAAATCAAAAAAGGTTAAATCAAAAATCAAAAGAGGGTTAAAGAAGTCATAGCTGGATATGGTGGCACAAGCCTATAATCCTAGTACTGTGTATACTGAGGCCAACCTGGGTTATGATGAATCCCTGCCTTAAATTTCTGAATAAAGAAAAGATTCAGGATAGACTAGCATCTCAATACTTCACTGTCTGGGAATGTTACATTCCAGAAAGTAAAGTGATTAAACAGAATGGTATCTTTATGAAGAATATTAACTCAGATGTTGTGTTCCTGAGTCAGCTTCCTGGCACAGAATGAATGGAGAGTGATAAACGGGTGGCCTAGATGGGCAGATGGAAGACACAGTGACTGCCAGGCTTGGACTGGGTGACCTGGGACCTACTCCTCCTCCCCTTCCTGGAGTATCTCTTCTCCTTTAGTTGGCCACAACTAAAACCTGATACTCTTCAGAGAATTACTTCAACTCTCCCTCATGAGCCCTTAAACTTGAAAACGTTTGTAGAGTGGCAAACACTTACGCTCTGGGGCTAACTGCTACTTAACAGAAGGGCTAGCTTGGTGTGGGGCTTACTTCAATAATCCTAGCACTTGAGGGGCTGGGACAAGAGGATTGCCACTGGTTTGAGGCCAGCCAGGGTCAGTGAAACTGTATATCCCAATAGGGCTGGTTTAGAGCAACCCAGGTTGTTTGATCTCTGTGTGTGTTTGTCTTGGGATAAGGCTGGTCTTGAACCTAATCTTTCTTCCCAATGCTTGGATTATTATGGCCTGTGAAACCACACTTGGTGGAGTCACTTTTAGTAGAGCTAAAAGGCACACATGCCTGAGCGTTGCTGTAAAAAAAAGACACTGGCACTACACAGAATTATGTTGGTATGTCATACAGCTTCAAGTGAATGAACGTCATATTTCTGTTCTGGATTCCAGCGTGAGTGTATCTCTATCCACGTGGGGCAGGCAGGTGTCCAGATTGGCAATGCCTGCTGGGAACTGTACTGCCTTGAACATGGTATTCAACCTGATGGTCAGATGCCAAGTGACAAAACCATTGGTGGTGGGGACGACTCCTTCAACACATTCTTCAGTGAAACTGGAGCTGGCAAGCATGTGCCCAGAGCAGTGTTTGTGGACCTGGAGCCCACTGTGGTCGGTAGGTGCCTGGGTCAGGGTGGCTGCTTTCCGAGGAGAGCGTGAGTGTCTCAGGAAAACCTGCTGACATCTCTGCAGAGTGTACAGCGGTACAGATGTGTGCTTGTGACTTTGTTGGGGGGGAAACTGAAAGGGTTGTATGTGGTTTACGTATAATTCCAAACTAGGAGACGCTGTTGTCATTTATGCACAGTGGAATTG